GACGTGCAGCGCGAGCTGGCGCGCTACGGCGCGGCGCGCTGCGGGCGCCTGCGCCGCCGCCTCTGGCTCACCATGGAGAACCCGGGCTACTCGCTGCCTAGCAAGCTCTTCAGCTGCGTCTCCATCGGCGTGGTGCTCGCCTCTATCGCCGCCATGTGCATCCACAGCTTGCCCGAGTACCAGGCCCGCGAGGCGGCGGCCGCCGTGGCCGCCGTGGCCGCGGGCCGCAGCGCAGAAGGCGTGCGCGACGACCCGGTGCTGCGGCACCTCGAGTACTTCTGCATCGCCTGGTTCAGCTTCGAGGTGTCGTCGCGCCTCTTGCTGGCGCCCAGCACGCGCAACTTCTTCTGCCACCCACTAAACCTTATCGACATCGTGTCCGTGCTGCCCTTCTATCTGACACTGCTGGCCGGCGCGGCACTCCGAGACCGGGGCGGTGCGGGCAGCGAGGAGCTCGGAGACCTGGGCAAGGTGGTGCAGGTGTTCCGTCTCATGCGCATCTTCCGCGTGCTGAAGTTGGCGCGCCACTCCACTGGGCTGCGCTCGCTGGGCGCCACGCTCAAGGTAGGGCTTCTGAGGCCCGGGTGGAGGTTGCGGGGAGGTGGGTGTAACCATCTGGCAGGTTAGCAGGTGAACTTGCAAGCCTGAGGTGTGCAGGCCCACAGGGCTAGACACCAGGTGTGAATTTCACGTCTGATCAGACCTTCCCAGTAGCCCTATAAGGAGGGCTTTCTGTTTTGTTTCCTAGGGGAGAAACTGAAAATCGAGGCAGAGCTTTGTTTGTCTTTCTTTCCAAAACCAAACCAAAACAAAAAACCAAGACAAAGGTCACTTTGGATCTATCTGTCAAACATCACAAAAATACACAAAGTAGGAGGCTAACTGGCTTCTCCGCTGAGATTATCAGGGAGCACAGGTATCAGAGGTCACCCTTGATAGGTTAGGTCTATCAATAGCCCCAGAGTTAACACTGAACACTAATTCTGTGCCAGTTTCATATCCGTTATTGAGTTCATCCTCAGGACAACTTCCTCAGGAAGATGCTATTATGTATTCCCTTCCCGTAGATGAAGAAGCTGAGGTTGGAGGGTTAGCTTTATTTTAAGCCTGGTTGCAATTACTGAGTGCCTGCCCTGTGTCAGACCCTGCACTGGGGGTGAATCACAGCCCTGGCAAGCTTACCTTCAAGGGGAAGTTGGCTGGTTTGGAGAGGGAGGAAATGTGAACAGCTTGCACGAAGGGCTGGAGAGGGAACAGAATGATGCCCAGAGGGGGACATGGCGGAACGGTGTGCCCATTGATGAGGCTGGAGAGGTGAGTGGGGCTGGATACTGAAGGGCCATGAACTCTTGGCCTGGAAGTTTTGGACTTGATCTCATGGGAATGGGAGATCCTGTGAGGGGCTTAAGCAGGGGCAAATATTTTTGTCATTACTCTGCAGGTGTGGAAACTGAGGCCCCAAGAGAGGACGGGACTTATCAAAGGTTCCTCAGTGAGTAAGGGGTACAACCCAGAGAAGAAACCAGCTAGTCCTGACTCTAGCCTCTCGTGCTCTTTCTTCTAAAGCAACCCTGTTAAGAATCCCTGAAAGGTGCTGAAAGATGCCTTCCACCCATTGCTTAGGAAAGCCTTTTGTGTGCCCTTCTGCCAGGGCAGCCAGGATGCTGGGTTCAGGCAGGGTAACCTGGGCAGAATGCTAGGGCAGGTGCGGGGAATTCCATTAGCCACACTCCCTGAACTCAGCATCTCTCCAGGGAAGATTCCTCCTCCCCCAGAACTCTGCTTTGCCTCCACCATGCAGGGAGCCAGGGCCTGATGTTGCTCGCTGCTTCTGCCAGGAAGGAGAAGAGTATTGATCGAGGCTGCAGGGTCCAAGACCTGGGTGTAAGACTCCAGATGGGAACCTTGCTACTCAAAGCGAGGTCCCTAGCCAGCAGTAGCTTTCTCATTACCTGGAATCTTGCTAGAAATGCAAAATCTCTGGCCCTACCCCAGACCTAGTCAGCTGGGTTCCCCTACATAATTTCTCCACACATTACAATTTGGGAATCCTGTTCCAGCCTAGGGTTTCTCAGCCTCAGCACTGTTGACATTAGGGGCCCAGATAATTCCTTGTGTGGGGGGTGGCTGTCCCGTGCATTGTAGGATATGGATTAACATCCCTGATCTCTGCCTACTAGATGCCAGTAGCATACCTGTCCCAGTTTTGACAACCAAAAATGTCTCCAGACATTGCCATGTCCCCTGGGGTGGGGGTGCAGAATTTCCCTATTTGAGAACCAGTGCCCTAGGGCTTGGATCTGGGGCAGGACAAATATACACATCCAGAGGCAAGTGCATTCAGTGGGAGGTCTGGGGAACTTACACATCCTCTTGGCTTTCTTGAGAGGCAGAAAATATTTTTGTACTTATCAGCAACGGGACAGACCAGTTCAAAGGACCTGAAACCAACTCTTTGCATTGTGGAATATAAAATGGTTCTCTCTTGGTTCCACAGTAGATAAAAAACCGCGAGCTTTCCATTAACTAGCTGGTGCCACCAGGACCCCCTGCGGTTGAAGAAACAGCCATGGCTTAGCAGGCAGGCACCTTGGACAGTAATCAGGCCTGTGTTCAATCCCAGGGTGATTTGCTGGCTTCTGTAGTTGAAAGGTCTCAGTCTGCAGGCAGGAGACCTAGGTCTTGGCACCAGCTCTGCTTTGCTCTGTGACTTCAGACCTGTCTGTTCTTGTCTCTGGGCCTCAGTTTCCCCATACGCCCCATACCAGGTCTGTAAGCCCAGCCAGCTCTGACATGGCTTCCTGCATTCTCTTCCAGCACAGCTACCGTGAGGTGGGCATCTTACTGCTGTATCTGGCCGTGGGGGTATCTGTGTTCTCCGGTGTGGCCTACACAGCCGAGAAGGAGGAGAACATGGGCTTTGACACCATCCCAGCCTGCTGGTGGTGGGGTACGGTGAGCATGACCACGGTGGGCTACGGGGACATAGTGCCGGTGACGGTGGCTGGCAAGCTGGCAGCCTCGGGCTGCATCCTCGGGGGCATCCTGGTGGTGGCGCTCCCCATCACCATTATCTTCAACAAGTTCTCCCACTTCTACCGGCGGCAGAAGGCTCTGGAGGCTGCCGTGCGCAACAGCGGCCACCAGGAGTTTGAGGACTTGCTGAGCAGCGTCGATGGGGTGTCGGAGGGATCGCTGGAAACATCCCGTGAGACCTCGCAGGAGGGAAAGTCTGAAGACCTGGAGGCCTAGGCCTCCAATGGGCCTCCTAACTCTCAGGTTTATTAAAACCAGGGCTCCAGGTCCCCCTTCCCACACCCCTGCAGTCAGCTGAAACAGAGCAGAGATTCCTCCCCTGCTTAAGTTCTTTATAATAGCGTGACCTCTCAGGATCACTCACTCTGGCCTTGGAAATGACACCCAAAGGCTGGCTTCTTCCTCCAGAGACACAGGGCAGCATAGTGTTACCCTGGGTTCTGTGAGCCTGGGGCAATCCAGAGACCTTTATAAACAAACCTCCAAGTCACCAAGGAAGCAGGCATAAGCCAAAGAGGGGAAGTCAAAAGGCAACAATTCCTGAGCATCTCCTGTCTCTCAGCCATGTCACGCTGGTTCTGCGTTGGAGGATGAGTCATCCCCATTTCACAGATGAGGAAACTGAGGCTCAGAAGGGCACAATGACTTGCCCACATGTCACGCAACTAGAAGTGGTGGAGCCAAGTTTTGAATACTAGCCCGTTGGTCACCAAGACCAGTGTTCATTCCACTGGTCTTTCTTCTACCCACACAAAGTTTGCATGTGGTTTTAGAGGGTTCATGGACCCCCAGAGTTGGTTCATAGGGGTAGAACCTTCTGTGAGAGCTAAGGAAAGGCCCAGGCAGGGGATTCAGATGTACGTTCCCTGGACCTCAGCTGTGGTTCCTCTTGGGAGCTTCCAGCAGGACTCAGCTCTCAGAGATGAGGTCTGAGAGGAGGAAAGAGGGACCTGCCTCCTTAGTAGATGGATAAGACTTGCTAAGTGACAGTCCTGTAGCTTCCACCCAGGGTGGACTTGCAATACAGAAAATTTGAAGGGTCCTTGGCCTGAGGCCTGAGGTCCAGACCCAGCTATGCTGGAATCTACTCCATCTCCAGATTCTAGCTCTTCTATCAAATGGTCACCGTCTCTGCCCCAGGGGGAGATGAAAGCTCAGTGGAGCAGGGGTAGCACTGATATAAAGCCAGCTCAGCTCTGAAGTGTTGGTGGCAAGGAGCTGCCATGCTTGGATACCTGTCCCCATTGCTTCCTGGGCCCCCTAAGTCTGATCTTGGCATTTCCCTTCTGCCCACGACACAGACCTCCAGCCCTCCCTTGGGTTACCATCCTGGCAAATGCTTGAGACTCCTGTCCCTTTTGGCCACATCTCTAATACTCCTCCTGCTGAGTCCTCTCTCTGCTTCTAAGAAAGTTGGGAGGGAAGGGTTCCCGCAGCCCTTGTCACATCCTGTGGCTGGAACACCCTTCTCTGTGCTGTCATTGCTGGACTGTGGCTCGGACTGTCCCACCACACTGAGCTCCAAGGTGGAAGACGCTGTCTGGTTGAACCAGCTTGGTGTGGGGTAGGTATTTAGGAAACGTCAAATGGATCGACCAATTCGTACATCCTACCGCGAGCTGAGCACTGAGGAGAAAGGAAATAGCCAAAGAGAGACTTCGTCCTCAAGAGGGTGGAGGCAAGACTGAAAAGGAGGTCTTTTCCATTCTACGTCCCTCTTTGCTTCTTGAGGCTTTTAAAATGATTTCCTTGTAGACATTTTACTCATTCAACAGATATCCTTCAGAGGAGTCATAAGCTGGGGCTTCATGTGTGGCCTGCAGATGTGTTTTCTTTAGCTTAACAGTGTTTTTAATATATTTTTTTAATTCAGATGCCTTTGGGAGAGGCATGCACTCTCCAGTTCCGCATGGCGTCCCCCACCCCGCCGTACACACAGGCACCACTGCGTCAGCCCTGCCCTACTTTACCCACCTGGCCTCTGATTTACTGGCTGCTTTCTAGGTTCAGGAGATACCAGGGGGAAGGAAATACATATCCCTATACATGTGAGCCTTACAGACTAGTAGGGGAGATGAGTTTTAATCCAATAATCACATAAATATGTAACAGCTCTACGAAGTAAAGGGAGCTGTGAGCGTGTAATGTAGCTGAGGCCATTCACCGAGAAGGTGAGAGAAGACTTCCCTGAGCAAGTGACAATTTAACCTGCCATCATATGGTTAAATAGCTAATCAGGCAACGAGGATTCCTGGAAGCGTGTTCTAAGCAGAGGGAACAGCCTGTGTGAAGGCCTTGTGTCATACACAGGGCCTGGTACCTGTTAGTAGATCCCCACATGTGGATGGATTCTGAGTCCCCAGATTGGAGCAGAGACTGGAGTTAAGCCAAGGGGCCGCTGTTGAATTCACCCTGCACGCGCTGGCCCTCCTGCACATTCACCTCATAACGTCTAGGCCCAGCTTGGGGCACAGAGACCAGGAGGCCTGCATGCTCCACCCTGATGGTCTTGCTGGACATACCAAGGAGCCAGATAGCTTCCAGACTTGACTCCCCTAGAGCTGGTGTGGGGAGAGCTCAGGGGAGACTCGTCCAACCTGCATCCATCATGAGGTTATGTGTGGTCCTGGCAGAAAAGCAACAACTCATCTCCACTCTCATGTATCAATAAAAATCACTATGCAAATAAAGAGGCTGGGCCCAGGGACCCATTTCTGCCTGCACGAACCTGGCTGCCTGGTGTGCTTTCTGGGTGATTGGGGATGGTGGGTGATGACATGGAGTGACTCAGAATCTGTCTTCTCTGGTTCCAATCTTGAATTTGGCTCAGGTTGCTAGTGATAGGAATCCAGCTGGTTACTAACTTGGTCAAAGAGGGTAATTTATTAGAATAAATAACTGAAGTGATGAGCAGCTGTTACAGTTCCAGCTCTTTGTTTGCAAACAACAGAAACTGACTACCTTAAGAAAAAAAATTAATTTATTGGAAGGTGTATTAGTTTCCTGTGGCTGCTGTAACAATTTACCACAAACTGGATGCAACAAACTTGGAACAACAGAAATGTATTCTCTCACAGTTCTGGAGGCCAGAAATCCAAAATCAGAATGTCAGCCCAGTCACACTCCATCCAGAGGCTCCAGGGCAGAGTCCTCTCCCTGCCTCTTCCAGCTTCTGGTGGCTGCCAGCATTCCTTGGCTGGTCTCTGCAGTCTTGGCCTGTCATCCCATTGCCTTCTCTGTATGTGTCAAATCTCCCAATGCCTCTTTCTTAAAAGGACACTTTTGATGGCATTTAGGGGCCCACCCCGATTATCCAAGATGATCTAATCTCGAGATCATTAACTTCATCACATCTGCAAAAAGATCCTTCAGCCAAATAGGGGAATATTTTCAGGTTCCAGAGGTTAGGATGTGGACATCTTTAGGAAAAGCTGACTGGCCAGGCCTCAGGAAATATAGGCATGAGGGGAGCTCTCAGGGCCTCAGGAGCAGAACCCATGAACCTTCTGTTGAGGACACTGCTATTCAAATGATCCCCCTCCAATCACTGCCTTCCCAGTATCATTCTGCTCACATTCCCTATCCCAGGAGAGAGGTAGATTTGCCCAGCTTGAGTCATGCCTCTTCCTTGATGAGGATGGAGGGCAGGGTATCTGCATAAACATCTACAGCAGACCACATGGGTTGGAAGAAAGGTAGTTACCCAAAGAATAGGCCAGGTGATGTCACCAGAAGAAAGGGAAGGGATGTTAATAGGCAAAAATAGTAGGTGTCTACTACATACCTACTTCCAGCTGCCCAGCACACCCTGCGCTCACCTCTTCTTCCCATACACACAATTTTATAAATGTTTCTAACATAAGAAAACTATCTTGTAGATAATCAAAAATATACTTTTTGCTTTCCAGGCCCTATCAGTGTGATTTAATCAATGCAGTGGATCAGTTTGATTTCATGCGGAATAGGGATAATCAGGGAATTGAAGTCTTTCTGGTACAGAGCTGGGGAACTGAGATATCCCTGAATTGAAGAGTAAAGGACAACTGTTATCCCGTCTAGCTAATAACAGAATGCTTCCGGTGGTTTCTGTTTCTTGGAATAGAGAATGAAACCAGTAGATGCATATTAGCTCCAGGGACTGTACTTAAGAGCAGGTAAAATTGAAATTGTCACTTGATTAAAATAATCCACTGCCATTTTCTAAGACCCTTCTAATTTTGCACAAGCCAAACAGGGGGAACTAACAGTCCTTTAATAGTCTCATCCCCCTGCAGGAGCTTTGGTGGGACCACTAATCTCTGCAGCCCAAAGATGTGGTACCGCTGTTGAGTTGTCTGTTTCTAAATGGTTGCTCAGTTGGATTCTGTTGATGTTTTTTATATTACAATGGCCTCCAAGGGTCAAGGAGCCAATGTGGGGATCTTTTTTAATTATCCAGGAATGGAGATATGGGATAGCTTTGGGATCCCATTAGACCTCCTGTGACATAGACCAAGGTCAAGACTCTATTTTTCACATGGTTGGTGGACCTATAGTGGTACTCTCAGACCCAGGAAATTAGTATTAGTTCAAAGTCTTCATCCAAGTTTCCCAGAAAGGTTTGGGTATTTCTCTTTCTTCAAGCATCCAGTTACCCTAGTAAACAGCCACAGGTCCTTTGGAGAAAAGAGAAATGTTCACATTACACTCATGCAGTACTACGGCAGAATCTTCCCTCCACACAAGTAATGTATGCTTCGTTCAAAGGGCTTTAGATCAGTGAAAGAACTCAAGCCCGGGTGTTGGGTGTTGTTCTTGCAGAGCACATGGGATGGCTCAGGATGTCCAGGGCTCTGGGATGTGATGCCTGCAATAGTGTCTCCCTGTTTGCCATGACCTCAGGGTGGGGACTTCCCAGGTGAGACATAATGCTCCTCAGGGATGATCAGATTTAAGCTCTGCCCCCTCCACAGCCCCATATTACAGATCAGAAAACAGAGACCCAGAGAGGTCCAAGGTCATAGCTGAGTCCATTTCAGTGGAGAGGAGATTTTTAGCTGAAATAAGGGCCAAACAAGGTGTTAATACCAGAAAATGGAGTTGGAAGGGAATCTATTTGACTCATAAGGTATTTTTTGAGGCTCCTAAGATGGACAATGACCTATCAACTAATAATAATAACCACCCTTCATGTGTCTGTGGCACACTACAGTTTACAAAGTGACTTCTCACCCTTTATCTCATATACTTCTCACAACAACAATAACAAGACCACAGCAACAATAATCAAATAGTAT